TTTTAATATTTATTTTATATATTTAGTATATTTAGATATAATCAAAAGAAAAAATAAATTAATTTTATACCTTGGTAACAATTTTTATATTATAATAAAATACCCAACACCTTTGATCCCAATTTTCAAAATAATTCAGAAATTTGGCAAACGCAATATGATTCGCTGTATCCTTTAATTTGTTTTTATTTGAATTCTACTTGCACGTAAAATTATTTTGGAGCCTCGAAATTACAATTTCGAAGAAAAAAGTCAAAATAGTTTTTCATAGAAGACAAAATTATTTTACTTAAAACCTGAAATTCTTTGATTACCCAGATTTATTCTTTGATTAAAGATACATATAACTGGTACTTTTTTTACTTTCATATATAGAATAGATTTTGCATAAATCTCAAAAAGTCGAAATATCTCAAAAATCCAAAATGAATTTTGGGAACATGTATATTATAGACGATTTAATAATATTATTTATTAAATCGTTTAAAATAATATTTTTTAAGCGATTTAATAAATAATATTATTAAATTATTTAAAAATAATATTTTTAGACGATTTATAGACAATTATTTAAATCTTTGCCTAAAATAATATTTTTTAGACAAATAAACGATTATTTATTAAACCACCTAAAAAATATTATTTTTAAACGGTTTAATAAAATATTATTATTAATTATTAAATTATTTAAAAAATATTATTTAGGTAATTAATTATTGAAAATAATATTTCTAGGCAATTTAATAATTAATCGCCTAAAAATAATAATTGGTGCAACCTTAGATTAGATAGTGAGCCTCTAATTTCTTTTGTTGCTGTTGTTGTTGTCATCGCCATTTTTATTACTGTTGCCATTTACTCCACTTATTGTTTTTAAAAGGGCACTAACGTAAAAAGACAAGTATAAGAAATACCTTGTGCATTCACAATATAGTTAGAGTTATTTCTACAAGAAGAACTATCAGAGAAATCGTCTGAAGAATAGTTTCTAAAAAATAACTACAAATAATTCTTTATTCTCTTGCAATAGAACTTAAAAAAATAAAGGTAAAATGTCAAATACTGAAGACTATTCTTAAGAACTTTTTGAATATTCTAAAGAACTTTTTGAAGAACTTTCTGAAGAACATTTTGAAGAACATTCTGAAAACCCTACCTCTAATAATGAAGTTCTTGATGTTCAAAACACAACCACATCTTCTTTAAAAAAAAAGGATTTCTAAAATTTATCAATATTTTACTTATGGAACTGATAAAAGGTGGCACTGCAAACATTGCACGCAAGTATTATTTATTTTTATTTACATTATTTTATTTTTATATTTATTATTTTGCATTTAACATTTCTTTATCTATTATAGTGTTAGTATTTCTGACAAATCTACATCAACTTTAAATCGTCATATGTTCCGATTCCATAAAAAAATTCTTGGAGGTACAGAAACTGGACCTATAAATAAATATCTTACTAACACAACAGAAGAAACTGTATGTACTGTATGTTTATTTTTTTTTTGTATTATAAAAAATAATTATTAAAATACTATTTTTTTATAGTTTACTCAAAAAGGGTTTCGAAGAAGGTTACTTGAATGGATTGTAATTAGTGATCAACCATTTACTGTAGTTGAGGAAAAAGAATTCAAACAAATAATAAAGTTATTACATAAGGATGTATTAATACCTTCTGCTGAAACTGTACGTCATGATTTGACTTATAATTTTGAAAAAACAAAAACTAAAGTTAAACAGCAATTGCAAGTAAGTAATTTGTAAAGTAATTTG